GCCTTCAATGCTTCATTCACGGTAATCAATTGATTTCTAAGTTCATTGACTTCTTCTTGAGTTGCCATTATCTTCTTAGCTTTCCTCTTTTGACGGATCGGTTTATCAAAAAGTAAGACTTGAACAAAGGTGTTGTCCTTGATTAATCGCTCTTCTCTCCTTGACCAAATACTGTGGAAAGGGAAATTAGGGATATTCATTGTTAATTATTTGACTCAACTCTATTCAAAATGCGTAGATGAAATAAGGTAGGAAGAATGAAGGTTGTGATGTGAATAAAAATGATGTAGATGGAGAGATATGAAGAATTAGGAATATAATGTACCCCCAACTCAAATGACGGAAAAAACCCGACTCATGCATGAACCTACGACATGGTCATGGTGTGAAAAGTGTATGTACAAAGTTTGTGCTAAAGACTAGTGAGTGTAGGTGACATGTTAAGACTCTTGTCATCACCATGTGGCTAGACTATTTGACTAGACTCAAGCAAAGACTAAAGTTAAGACTTCACGTATATGCATTAAACTGGACAGGCTGTAGTATTTTAGTCATAACTTTTGATCTGTGACTCTTATTGGGATGAAACCAACGCCAAATTAAAGATAAAACTCGGGGCTACAGATCCATAGGTTCTAAAACTCGTAGTTCTTCCTAGAACGCCGGATATGATCAAAACAAGTTGATGTTTGTGCAGTATACGGGAATAAAAATCCGGGTTGACTTAAAGGAACTATAACTCGATTTTAGACATGTTTATTAGCTCAAATTAATTAATTAATTAATTAAGCGAAGTCTTTTAGTCATTAATTAGTTTATTAAGACTTATTTACAAATACAAGTCAAACCAAACAGTTAGCTTAGTCACATAATAAGTATGCACAAGTAAGAGATGCACAAGTAGTCAAGTAGTCACAACATGATGCAATGAGTTTGCAACCTAACCATGGCTCTAGTTCTCTAAAGTTCCGGATATGAGTTAGTCAAAGAGAGTCCATGGTTAATTGTCCGGATGCACCGCGCGGAAGCCTAACCGTGAAGGGTTGGTGCGAGTGGATGGGACACCGCGAGTTAAGAAAAACTCGCTTCAATGGTTTGGTGAATTCAACATTCTCGAATGTACCCTTTGTTGCTCAGAGCGTTCAATCAGGTAGATGGAGCATGAATTCCCAGAGGGTTATGTCCATATGTAGAACACATATGGGTTTCAGAAAAGTGAGAAAAACTCAATCAGGAAACACTGCTAAATACTGGTCAAAATTAAAACGCATATTTCTGGCTCGGTATTGGAAGAACTTGGCGCCAGCAAACAGAGGCCATCGCCACTTTTTGGCTTTAGCGCCTGGCGACAGAAGCCGTCGCCTGGCACTAATGTCAAAATGTTGGCACTAATATTTGTTCGCTGACGCTAGTTCCTACATGCCTTAGCAGCTTTCTGTGCTCGATAAAATTTTCCAGTTTCGCGCAACATTATTTCGATCCTAGTTGTGAAAGATATTCCTCAAATTTCCTACGTGTAAAAAATCCTATGTTTTAACTCATTACGGATGGTCTTTCCAATGAGATCTTTTTTATGCATATGATAATAATGTTAATCAAAATTACACACATGAAATACTTAGAACTTTTCGAGTCTCATCCACTCATTCTAAATCATTGCCAAAATAAATTCAGGAATTAAAATAGAAATCCTCCCCAGTGGAGTCGCCAAAAAATTGTAGGGAATATTTCAAGCATTATCCCAAACTTGAACCCCACTGTGATCATACACTAAAGTACGGTGGCGTTCAAAGGGAAAGAAGATAGAGCAGAAGAGTCACCAACAAGTTTTAGGAACTTGTAAACCATTCATGAGGTAAAGGTTACACCCCTTAACGATCCAGGAGATCGTCAACTCCAATAGGTCTGGAACCATGTTTGGTAGTTCGGGGATGAAGGTAAAAATCCAACCTAAAAGAGATTGAACCTGCCCTAATAATAGGCCTCTACTTTATTCTAATCGTATTCATGTGCGCTTTCTCACTAACATGCAACCGATAGGATTAACACTAAACATGTTTATCTATGTTGGTTGAATATAAATGCACAAACAAAACTATTATTTGCGATCACTTGAATTATAATCAAATTAACCCTAACAAGATTATTAATTATCTTATTAAGCGTGATTACAAGTAACAAATTCCCTTTAAACATGCATAAAAGGTGTGATCAAGCAATAACAATAATATATATCAAGCAACATAATAATCAAAACAATAATTAAAATAATCATAATCATAATCAAATTCATGATAATTAAAATAATAATACTAAAGTTAAAGCATAGCAAGATCCTGTGCATAATACTAACAGGATTAATAACAAACCCTAGCATGTCACTAAACATTAAAAATCATATATTTAGCCCTAACATGATACTAGGAATTTATTGTTATCACCCTAAACATCAAATTAAGAAAAGCATCCTAACATGATATTAGGAATTTATAATAACAACCTAGACATGATTTCTATATCATAATATCAATAAAAACAATTAAAGCACTTACTTGGATACCTCGTACCTCTTTCTAATAACAAAATACACGTGTTAGTAATTTCAAGGAAAATAATAAACAACAATTAAATTAAATAATTGAAAGAGAGATTAGGGACCAAACCCTCAGAAATTAAAACCTTTCACGTCTAGGGCGAAGGCAACTTCAAATTTGGCTATGTGTGTAGTGTTAATGTATGAGGAATTGTGTTTCTAAAAGGCTAGGCTTAGAAAGAGAGAGAGAATCAAGAATTTCTTGATGAGAGTTGGTGAGAAGAAAGAATTAGAAAGAATAAGAATTGATGATTATTGAGAATTGATGATTGTAGATGATTGTTGATGATTGAAAACGGGGTTTTTAGGAGGCTATTTATAGAGAAAATCAGCCAAAAAGATAGAAAAACGATCCATAGTTCTGACGTGAAAAACGGAGTTAGCGCCAGACGCTGACATTAGCGCCAGACGCTAAAGCTAGCGCCAGGCGCTAATGCTGGCGTTAGGCGCTAATCATTTTTTTACACGTTTTCTAAATTCAGATAAAATTTAACCGTACATGAGGATAAAATCGTATTTTCCTCAAAAATACTAGCTAAACCTTTACTCGTCCTCGAGTAAAGCAATGAATAAATAAATCAATACTTCACCCCAAAAATAATCAAAATCAAGAACAACCAATTCAAGGTAAATCTAACAAATATGTTTCAAAATCAACCAATCTCATCCATTTAATCACTCATCCTCCCTAACAATTGTCAAATAGAGCAAACCACAAGAGCATATAGAATTCAAGACTAGTGCTCACACACTCGACTCTCATTTATGTGGCGAGTAAAAGATGTACTCGATCGCTCTCCATCCCAACTCCATCATGTGAATAATGCCCTCCCAACTCATGCACTCGTGTGTTTAAAAAGACATACACTCAACCTAATAGTCGACTCGGAATATGTCAAGTCATTCCTTGCATTGATAAGTAACTACTTACACATTCACACAACTCTATGCACAAAGGTCGGAAGGTCCTTAAAGCTTGTAATGTAAGGTCAGGGTAAGATGTAGGATAAATTTGGGAAAATGTGAGAGAAAAGCAATGGTTAAGGGAGCTAAAATCCTAACAAAACCAAGACCAAAAATAGATAATGACCAATCATCTCCAACATAAATCAACTCCACCAAAAATTCACCAAACATAAATCCAATCATATCAAAAATTTCCAACACTTACAATTACACTCATAAAAATATAACAATGTAGAACTTGAGTGAATAAACAAACCTTGAACTCTTCAACTTGATTTTTCTTATTGAAACTCATTTTTTTTTCTCTTATGATCAACCTTCACTTAGAACATTTGAACATTAAACAAATTTTGTTTTCTTTTTTCCTTTTGAAGTTCACTTTTTTTTTTCCTTTTTTTTTCTTAAACTTCAATTCTATTTTTTTTTTCATCATGCTTAATTTTTTTTTCACAAGAAATTCAACTCTCAAATCATCAAAAATAAACCACCATGAAAAACAATTACAACTTCTTAACACCACTCAATTGTACAAATAATAAGCACGCTACAAAGTCTCTCACCTCACTCACTAATAGCTCCCCCAAGCTAAGCTCGGGACTAGTAACCAATGGGGAAAATTCGGCTTGTAATGTGGCTAATAAACAAAAAAAAAAGGTCATGGCAACAACATGGGTAGCAAGAAGGGAACAATTGTATCTAATATCGTCTGATCGAAGTCACCTAAAAGAACAACGCCTTCGTCCTCCTCATTGTGCATAATAATGAGTCGTAAAACATTACTTATAGTCACAAACCAATACTCAAATTCATTGACATACCAGGAACTAAAACACATTCCTCACCAAATCAACTAGTCAAGCACTATATTCACAAACAGTTGGGCAAAATTGACGCATGTTAAGGCATCCAAGCAATCAAATATCAAATAATGGCTAACTTATCCACAATACTCATAATCATATGCAATGAATCAAAACAATTTTTAAGTATGGGGCATAGGGAAGCATGATTTATCATTCATTACGATAATAAAACCCTCCCACGCACTTAAAATTTGCAATGTCCACATTGCAACAATATGTCATGAATAAATAAAATAGGGGAAAGAGTACTCACAAAGCATTATGGCGGAGGTAGATGAGGAGGGCTCGAGTAATTAATATAATGCATCGAATCGAATTCGCGCCAAATCCTCAATTTAAATTTTTAGCCATGAAGTTCCAAAGTGTAACAATTCCTCAAACCAAACCACCTTAGTTATTCCAACGAGTCTCCTACAAGAAGCAATGGAATAGTAGCAGCACGAATTTTTTTTTTTTTTTTTTTAGAAAAGAATTAAAAAAAACTAACTAAAAAAAAACTAAATTAAGAGTTAGAAAATTGGGTTGCCTCCCAAAAAGCGCTTGTTTTTAAGGTCATAAGCTCGATCTCCTTTAGTAGCTCAACCTGGATCACCACCACGCAGAGAGGATTCTCTACAGTCTTGTCTGTAATTGTGTTCACATGTATATCCCTCCTTCAAACTAGAGTTGATATAATTTGTATCCGAACTCATTTTGATGTAGCTAAACCCATCATGCGGTGGAATATAGTCATTTTTGCTCACAAGATATCTATTAGAAACACACTTATCAACCAAAGGGTTAGTAGCATCAATTCTCAAACAAGTACCACCATCAAAAGTGAAATTATGGTAATTGAAAAGCTTAAACACAACTTGCTTATCCTGAGCTCTAATGGTCACTTGTCCTTGAGGAACATCTATTAAAGCTTGACTTGTAGCAAGAAAAGGGCGACCAAAGATAAGTGGGATCTTATGGTGTTCTTTCATATCCACTACAACAAAGTGAACAGGAAAAACAAGTTCACCAATCCCAACTAATACATCTTCAACTACACCCTTAGGGAGTCTAACAGTTCTATTAGCCATATGAAGAGATATAGGAGAAGGTTTAAGGTTTTTGAAACCTAATTTGTCATACACTGAAGAAGGCATTAAGTTAACACTAGCACCCAGATCACACAAAGACCCTATCAAAATATGTTTTGTTTATCATACAAGGGATAGTAAAACTACCAGGATCATGCAATTGAGGTGGTAAGCTATCATGTAAAAGATCAAGACATTTCTCCTTTACTACCAAACTTTCTAATTTCTTATCATTATGATCGTGATCTAGAATTCCTTTTACAAAATTTTCAAATTGAGGCATTTGAATTACAAGATCGAAAAAAGGAATGGTAGCATAAACCTTCTTAAGAGTCTTAGAATACTTCCCAAAATGCTTATCGAGCACGGCTTTTGATAACCTTTGCGGGAATGGCATCAGTTCATCATAGGCTTGTGGGGAAACATATTTGAGATCTTTATTCACATGCATTTCTGTTTTCGACTCCAGATTGCACACTTTCTCCTCTAATCCTCCCGTAGTCAATTCATCTCTCTTCACGAAAATTGCATTGCATTGTTTGGGTTGGACTTTTGCTTGATCTTGAAGAGTTTTTTGATGACTCACTTGTTGTGAAATTTGAGAAAGATGAATTTCTATCCTCTTATTTTGAGCAACAAGCAATTGAATCGAGTTTTCAAAATATTCATTTTGCTTTGCTTGTAGCTCAAATGGCTTTGATATAAGCTCTTGTTGTTGACATTGGGAGGTAGCAAAAGTCTCCATAATGGATTCAAGATTTGAAGATTGAGGTGGTGGTTGGTGCATGGATTGATGATTAATAGGTTCCCTTGCTTGAAAAACGGGTGGTGGTGGAGGAGTCACTTGAGCCTGATTGTTCATATATGAGAAACCTTGATGATTTTGCCACCCTTCATCAAATGGCCTTGTGGAGGTCGTGGTATAAAAAGCATTAGCTTTCTCAATCGTCATTCCATCATAATTGGGTTGACACTCTCGCGCAGTATGGCCTTGCAATCCACACATCTGACATGTTTCCATCGAGGGTCGAGGGGACTCAGCTTGGAGTTGATTGACTTTATGAGTTAGTGCCTGCACAGAACTAGTCAACATGGTTAGAGCATCAACATCATGTTTATTACCTATGTTGATAGCATTTCGTCCCCTTGGATGGTAATTGTCATTAGCCGCCATCCTCTCAATCAGATCCTTCGCATCAGTTGGGTTCTTAGTCATGATAGAACCTCCGGACGCAGCATCAATGTATATGCGAAACTCATGGGTCAAACCATTATAGAACGTTTGGATCAACATCCAATCTAGAATGCCATGATGAGGGCATTGTCTCTGCAATCGCTTAAACCTTCTCCATGCCTCATATAAAGACTCATCACCGGATTAATGAAAGGTGGATAGCTCGTTCCTTAATTTCGCGATTTTCTCTTGCCCCAAGAATTTGACTAAGAAGGCCTTGGAAAGCTTATCCCACGTATCAAAGGAACCGACACCTTCATCTCATAACCACTCCCTTGCTCTATCACGTAGTGAAAAAGGGAAAAGGCGTAGTCTAATAGCATCATCAGTGACACCATTGAGCTTCATAGTATCACACTTCTCCAAAAAACTATCAATGTGAGTCACAGGGCAATCATTCGGTGAACCCGCAAAAGAATCATTGGAGATGAACTGTATGAATTGGGGTTTCAACTCAAAACTCTGAGCGGTGACAGGTGGTCTAACAATACTAGAGAGGAATCCGGTTTCTGTATCTGGAATACCATACTCCAAAAGAGATTTTATTCCTAGGTTGACCATGTTTCTTGTATTTTGATTTTTCCTCCTTCTACCTCTTCGTCTTCTTGCAGTAGCTTCGATCTCAGAACCAAAAGGTGTTAAATCATCTGAACCTGAACTTCGAGTTTGCATGCAACAAAGAAACTAAAACGGGGAGATCAAAGACACAAGAAACAATAGCCGAAGCAACAAAATTTATGCTTAGTAAAAACGAATCACGAATAACTAGAATGAAACCGTTAGTCCCCGACAACGGCGCCAAAATTTGATAGGCGTGTCGCGTACCTAACAAAAATAACCAAACTAACTCTACTATGTAGATGAGCAAGTAGGGGTCGAATCCCAAGAGACTAAGGACTACTAATTAAACAGACTCAAATCAATACTAAGAAAGTAACCAATCAATATCGAGAAATCTATTCTAGAACAATTACGAACTATCAAGCAAAGAAAATTATAATAATGAATTAATCAAGAACTAAAGACATCTAAGATTAAGTATCCCCACTAATATGAATCAATGCAATAGAACAATCCCTTTCCCTCAATTAAATTAATAAATATTCCCCAGGACAGATGCTCCCTAAAACAATACTAAGAGTTTCTTTCGATCAACTAATAGCTTCCCTAACATGCAATCATACCTATTTTCATGGAATCATACATATTAAAGACATTGAGAACGGCATCCTATAAGCCCTAGCAAGAACAATTAGCTATTTTCATGCATAAAAGCTCTTACTTTTAATTAGGGTTGTAAATTCAATTAAGAATCAACTTTCGTTGTAAACCTAATCACATTCAACAATACTATTTCTAGTTTATCATTGATAATAAAACCAACCCTATCAAAGAGAAATTATGAATTAATTAAATTGGGAATTGGGAATCAAATAACACATCAATCCATATTAGGGTTCAACCTAACCCTAGATTATGAAACTACTCACACATAATAATAGAAGTAACAAGACAATTAATTAAAGAAAACATAATAACAATAAAAATTAAAGAGAATAAGGAAGAGAAATCAATACTTGGAATTGGAATTAAATATGAAAACTTGAATCTTGAAAGTAATAATGAAGAACGTAATACCAAAAGCTCTAAAATAATGTATGTAAAAAGTGATAGATAAAAGACTATCTAAAACCTATTTATATGCTAGGAAAATAGTAGTAGTCTTTTCTTAGGATTAGGACTCCTAAAATCCCTAAAATAGGGCTAATTTCGTTGGTAATGAAGAGGCCGCAACTAGGCTGCGGTACAAGGCCGTGAGCCGCAGTGAGGCTGCGGAGTAGGCTGCCGAACATGAATTTGTTGCTACATTGTGAAGTGCGCCGCAGGCAAGCTGCGGTAGGTCATAGTAAACCGCAATCAAGCTGCAGACTAGGCTGCCATGATGCTTCGTGGATGCTAAAAACGCTCCATATGAAGAATATCTTGCGTCCAAGTTGAATTCCACGCAAATAGATCCATATTCCTATAAAAACAAAAACAAACAAACCGAGAAGAGCAATATCGAAATAGGAAGAATAATAGCTCTAAAAGAGTAAGAAAATGAAGGAAACACAATAAAATATGACCAAATATCACATATAAATCATGTATAATATCGTGTTATCAACACTCTTTTATTCTAATTAAAATTCCAGAAAGTCAACAAAAGTCAATTTATCAATGCTAATTGAATTAGGAATGAAAAAAACCTTCTAGAAGAATCTAGAAGACTAAAACCATTCCTAATTGCATTAGGAATGATAAATCCATATTAGGCCCTCCCTTAGATCATTGGGCCGCATATAAGGCTCAAACCGGGCCCAGTTTAGTAATTTTGCCATAAACAATTGGTCTTGGCTGCACTAGAGAGTGCAGCCAAGATAGCTACAACAAGTGAGGCCCAAAACGCGCGGTCCAAATAAAAAATGAACATTTAGTTAAAAAATATGAACATGAAAAAAGAAATGAACATTTAATAACAAAAAATGAACACGTATAAAAATGAACATTTAATATTAAAAAGTTTACATGTTATAAGGAAATAATCATTTATTAAAAATTAATCTGATTATCGTATAATCATAAATTTGCTAGACCACGACCTTAAAAATGAACATTTAGTTAGAAAAATGAACACATACAAAAAAAGAAAAAAAAGAATATTCAGTAATAAAAATGAACATTTAGTAATAAAAAGTGAACAAGTAAAAAAAAATGAACATTTAGTATATTAGAAATGAACATTTATCATACAACCATAAAATGGGATCATATACATCGGAAATTCTCCAACTTAAAGGAAAATTCGTTTTAATATCATATACTTCTTCATCACTTCTTATTTGTTTCTTCACTAATTCAGATTCTTTGTCTTCTACAAATACAATTAATCTGTACTCACTAAAATATAACAAATAATCAAAATTCATAATCATCACAACATATGTTCATAATAATTATTTAGAATGTTCATAATATATAGACATCAATACAGTAGTTAAAAATATAAATAATTATCACTCTATATGTCATATGTGTTCATAATCAATAACAGATATGTTCGTAATGAATAACGAAACATATATATTCATAATAAATTGTTCATATTTTCAACACTAAATGTCCAGATAATTTAACTTTCAACGTATTATATTTTTTTCAACCTAATAAAAATTAACATTTAGTATTAAAAAATAAACACTTATAAAATGAACATGTAAATAAAAGTTATGAACATTTAGGATATTAAAATGAACATGATTTTCATAAAGGTTCAAATTCATTGTATATAATTATTAATGAAAAATAAAGATAAAATAACTTGTTGAAATATGTTCATTTTTTTTATGTATTTAATATTCATTTTCGGTGTACTAAATGCTCATTTTGTAAAAGATGTTCATTTTTAAATTCCTACGTGTTCATTTTTTTTACAGAAATTATATTCAAGATCGATTGTTATTATTGAAACTCTAAAAAATTGAATATACACCTTAAATCTAATCTTGATTCATCATAGAGAAATTAGTTATTGATTTGTAACATGATTAGAAATCAAAAGAAAAAAAAATTCAAAAGAAAAAGAGAGAAAGAGAGAGAGAGAGAGAGAGAGAGAGAGAGAGAGAGAGAGGAAATAACTACAAATTAAGCAATACAATTGATATTCATTAACAATTAAGCAATTTAATTGATATTCATCACAAACTCATAATAATTTCAAACAATCAAACAATAAATCATCATGCATGGTCAACGAAATCATACAAAATACAATTACAAATTGATAAAATTTAACCTCCATTGTTTTCTTTGACCTTCAACTTTCTCTCTCCTCCATTTTTTTTCTTTCTTCTTTGATAAAGCCAAATGATTGAATCTGATACTCATAGATTTAGAAAGAAAGAAGTATACCCATCAAAACTTAAATTAGTAACTCAAAAATTTATATAAAGAAGAAGAAAACTTTAAAGATTGAATGGAAATGAGGTAAAGAGGAGAGAGAAAATGTTAAATTGAGAAGAAAACTGAAGAGAGAGAAAAATAATAGAGCTAAGGGAGAAGAAGAAAGAGAATTAAGATATAAGGAAGAAAAAAAAAAGTATGTTCATTTTAACGTACTATATGTTCACATTTAATGGTGTTGCACTTGGCTGCACTAGAATGCAGCCAAGGATTTGCATGGCCATAATTTCCTCAATATTCATCGGAATTGGGCTTATAACATATCGTTGGAAAGCTCTTTTCAAGCCCCATCTAACTACACCATTATTGGACCCATATGATGGACCAACCAAACTGGATTGGCTGTTTTCTTAAAATAGGTTTTCAAAAATAGAGAGAAGAGAAAAGAGATTAAAACTATCCGCAACACTAGACTTTCCACACTTTCACTTCATTCGATTACGATTCAAAGTGAAAGTACTCATCACCGGGTTTGGTTTTGGGGAGACACAAATGGGTGTCTACACTAACATATCATGTCATACATTATTATATTAAACCAAACAAAATTAACATGTCATGTCTTACATTATTATAAAATACCAAACCAAACTAAACTAACATATCAACCATTATTATTTTTTAAACTAACATAAAATAAATTCAGGAATAAAGTAACATATATCTAAGTCATTAACATGCCAAGTATAAACTAAACTAAGAATTTTAGAAATTATAATGTCACTAACCTCCAGATCTGCACTTTTTATTGAGATTTAAAGCAAGTAAAAGATACAAATCCTACAAATAATAACAATTAAATCTTATTTAGGGTGTAAAATGTCAATTTTTATTTAAAAAAATGAATAAAAAAAAAGAAAAAATAAAAAAAGGAACACTTACTGGCGGCAACACGGCGGGAGGATGAAGGTGGTGGTGGTTCTGATCGGAGCAAGGAAGGTGGAGGAACTTAAAAAATGGGGTAGTGGTGGTTAGTGTTTAAACAAAAAATAAAAATTAAAATAGAAATTAAAATAAATAAAATAAACTCATTGGCGGCTGCCCGACTTTTTGGAATGCCGCCGACGGGAAACACCTGTGAACAAGCGGCTGCTACAAGCTGGTGGTGGTTGTTCACACCGACCGGTGGTTAGTGGTGGCGTTTTTAAATTTAAAAAACAAAACAAAACTTATTGAGCGGGAAGAACTACGGGAAGGCTGGCGACGGATGGATCCGGTGGCGGCTGGCAACGCTGGGCTCCGGTGGCGGTGGGATCTTCTCTTCCTCTTTCTCTCTCTTCCCCTTTTTTCTGTTTCTGTCGTGAAAAACAAGGGTTGGAAGCTTTTGAAAAATATTTATGTCGAAAAATGTAGTACCGACGGAATTTTCTGTCGGAAACTACATTTTCCGACCGAAATATATTCCGTCGGAAATTCTGCGAGGGAATTTCCGTCGCAAATTAATATTTTCCGACCGATTATTAGGACACACTTACTTCCGTCGTTCAATTTAAATTTTGCGACGAAAAATCATGTCCGTCGGCATAATTCCCTCGGAAGCAGGCCTCTTTCTAGTAGTGAAACTCTCCTCCTCCTTGTTCGGATTGCCCAGGCCCATTTCATATTGTTTGGAAATTTAACAAACCCTATATAGTGGTTCTGCTGTCGTCCAAGCAAAGATCTTAGCCATAAGCAATTGACCAAATTGATGGAGGGGATAGAAAGAAAATGGGGAAGATGAAGAACTTAGTAATTAGGGTTTGAATTCGGGAAATAATTCATGATAGATGAAGAAAAATGAATTTTGTTAGGTGAATTGAATGGGTTGGATGGGGGTATGACTTAAATTTCGGAGGAAAATTATATTAAATAAGTTAAAATAGTATTGTAATAAGTTTTATTTTTATGTATTTAATTGAGTATAGGAAAAACTTAGTAAGGGTATATTAGTAATTTTATTTGAATAAATTTACTAAAAATGAAAAGTTATTGAAAGTTACACATAATGTGTAGATGATGTTTTTGGAAAAAGTTGCACATAATGTAAAAAGAGGTAGTTAACATTTGTAAAAGTGACTTTAGTGTAAGAGAAAATAATAAAATAATAGTGGGTCATTACCAAATAAGAAAGTGCTGCAATTATTATAAAATGTACGTAAAGGGAGAATGCAGTGTGATTATTAAAATGCAAAAATCTAACTAGCGCCCTAGGGGTGTTGGATTAGATAATTAAAAGTAGAATTATTATATTAAAATCAACATTAATTACATTGATTGACGCGTGATTTTGGCATGCATTCCCAAATTAATACTACCTCTGTTTCTTTTTAGTAGACACATATTACTTTTTAGGAAGTTTTTTTTAGTTGACACGTTTTCTTTTGAGGTAACTTTTTTACCTTGCATTTACAAGATACCCCACTTGCTTTTTCATTCTCTCTCACTCTCTCTCCTCTCCTTAATATATGTGCCTAAATCAAACGCGTCAACTAAATAGAAACAAAGGAAGTACGATTTACGAAAATATTTTATATGCTTATCTAATGCCTAGGGGCGTTCGTTAGCAAGATTTTAAATAAAATATGGAGTAAAATGTTGTATTCCCTATATTATTCTTTAAACTTTGACTTACTTTGAATTTGCAAGATCTTCAATGTGCGTCTTTGACCATTAATTCTTTGGCTATGTATAAGTGAAAATTATAAAAAATTATATTTTGAAAAATATAAATTAAGATGAATGTAATAAGATTCCACATGGTAATTTATTTCGTTTGTAAAATTCATAAAAGTTGGTCAAAGTTATTTAACTTTATCCGCATGAATAGTAACTGAGTTGATCTTTTATTAACAAAGGTAGTATTAAATTTAAGATTATTTGAGACAATTCAAATGGAATGTGTCAGAAAAATTTCAAATAGTTTGAAAATAGAGAGAGTACTTGACTTTAAAAAAAAATTGTCATTAAACATAAATAAATAATACTACCTCCAGTCCAAATTAGTTGCAACTATTTCCTTTTGGGCTGGTCCACATTACTTGCAACTTTCCCATTTCTTTCCTTTTTTAATAATTTTTTAGTGGTAAAATTACCATTTTACCCCTACTTTTTTCATAAAACACCCTAATTACAATACTGATTTTATCTAATTAGCTTTAACCCTAACATTAATTAAGTTGCCTATTTTCACTAAAATCAACCCATTAGCCACCAAAACCGTTTCCAGCCACCTTCACCCTCCTTCATCTTCCTCCTCATCACCATTATTTATCAAATTTCTACATAATCTTTCTCATCCCCAATTTTTTTTCTCTCTCCTCCTTCAACCTATCACTTGATCGAGTCCAATTGTGGCAATTTTCGACGAGTTCCAGAGTTTGACGGCGAAGAATTGAGCGTGAATCGGCGGTTTCTCTCTCCTCTCCTTCCTCGTGGTTTAAGATCGGCGGCATCGTGGTTAAAGATCGGTGGCTCGTGGGTTTTAAATCGGTGGGTTGGGGTTGGTGGTTTCGGTGTTGGTTGATTCGGTGTGCTGAGTTGGTGGATTCGGTGTGCTGGGTTGGTGGTTTCGGTGTAGGTGTGTCGGGTTTGCTGGGTTGGTTGTGTCGGTGTGCTTGGTTGGTGGTCGTGGATGGGTGTGGTCGTAGGTTAGTGGTCGTGGTCGTGGTCGGTGGTTTGGTCGTTGGTTTGATAGTCGTGGCTGGGTTGGTGGTCGTGGCTGGGTTCAGTGGTAGGAGGTGGTGGTGGTGGCCGGTTAGTGGTCGTGGATGGGTTGGCGGTCGTGGCTGGGTTGGTGGGTCGTTGGTCTTAAGTTTTTTTTTTAGGTTGGATTAAAACTTAAGCATATACCCTTATCTTTCAATAAGCATGCTTATGATCTTTTGCCTCGGCCTCCGCAAACCCCCCCAAAGTTGCTACTAATTTGGACCGAAGGTTGTATATTATTTTTCTCTTTTATTCATGCAAATACTTATATATATATATATATATATATATATATATATATATATATATATATATATATATATATACTCTCTTTGAAACCTTTTATATTATATTCTTTTGACAAACTTTTAAAAAACAGGTGTACAATAATTATTGTACATCCATTATAAAGATAGCCTAAAATGATCAAAAGTTACCCCTGAAATGAATAAAAATTACCCCCAATATACATAAAAGTAACTTAAAATAAATTAAAATTATCTACGCTTTATTAATAAAGTATCAAATTTTAAATGACTAAAAATTAATTATTATTGATTGAATGTAATTAAATTACCTTTATAAACTTTTCTTGTTGTCTATTTATATAAAAATTGTATTATGTTTAAAGTTACCACCAAAAAGCCAAAAAGTTACCCTAAAATTAGCTAAAAGTTACCCGTATACTGTTCGATGTACACCAATATTAGTGTAAATCGAATATATACAAAAGTTTTTCTAACTTTTTTTTATAAAATTTTGTTCAAGTAAGTTGCTTGTCCTAAATACATTGGCGGTCGTCACGCCAAATAAAAACATATAAATGTTCACTTTAATAAAAGATAAAAATTGTATAATTATTAGGTTTAATTTTAAATCACATAATTATATGATAATTTTGGCAAGTAGTAGTATAATAGTTTGTTTTATATTAAAGTGTATCACATTTTATTCCTAAAAAAGTAAATTTCTAAAACATCCACAATAATTTGTTGAGATGTTGTGCATGACGACAGAATCAACTAGTTTCGTGCAACGAGTGTATTGCCTCAGTGGAATAATCAATAGCCTATTTGAGCTAATATGATATAGAGTTTTATTTTTTAAGTTAAATAAATAAATAAAAATCAATAAACATACCTTGTACTTCTTACATTAGCCAAAAATAACAATTTTAACACATTAAATTACTCAAAACTCTAAAAGCCACGCATTATTGTATTTTGGTATAAGATTATGTTGTCATATCAGCGAGAAATATGGAGATCTCAAACAAAAAGGAAACAACTTTTCTAAAACATCAAAAAAATCAGTGTTTACGCCATGACCATATTCGCCAGCGTTAATATGGCATTTCTGCATAAATATGGCAAAATAAAAAGCAATAATTCACCAACAACCATCACCATCAAATCTAGACAAAAACTAGATTACACCAATCACCTTTCTCCGGTACCATTATTGCTTGTCTCATTCACCTCGAGTCTTTGATTGCGCTTTGAACCCTAGAATATCAATGGGCATGTATTGAGATATGATATGGTACAAGAATACGAAATTAATGTAATGTAATCAAATATTGGGAAATTTTTACTCGGTAGAAATATGGAGGAAGAAGATAAAGATATTGAGATAGGCGGCATAGTCCTACCTCCATCGCCATTATCTAGGACAATTTTTATGTCGAATTCGGGTAAATCATTGTTAGTGTCAAGTCCTACCTCAAATAAGAAGAAAAAAAAATCCTCCGATGATTCAATGAAATCGTATTCCTTGGGTTCATATTCCTTCAATAACATCTACCCAAATCAATCATTTGACATCGATGATGGTAACTCACCATCAACCACCGGTAAAGCATTGGTTGTCTCAAGCTCGGCAAAGTCTTTTGCATTGTCGGACTCTTGCAAGTCACTAGCCCTCTCAGAGTCGGGAAAGCGAATAGACCAAAAAAAGAAGTACGTTAAGCAGGTGACAGGGAAGCACAAGGACACAGAACTTCACTTGGCAGCCCAGAAGGGGGACATAAAGGCGGTGAAGGATATTTTGGAGGAGATTGATGCTCAGATGACAAGAACAACAAGTGGGGCTGAATTCGATAGCGAGTTGATTGAGATACGCTTAACCATTGTAAATGAAGTAAATGAGCTCGGTGAGACACCATTATTTAGAGCTGCGGAAAAAGGCCACCTTGATGTACTGCAGGCTCTTTTGCCTTATACGACATCTGAAGGAATTTCTACCAAGAACCAAGTAGGGTTCACTGCATTGCATGTTGCCGCTAGCCAAGGTCATGAAGGTAGGAACAAAGTATTTATTTTAGTATATAACATGTTATGGCTTATAAATCTCATTATCTAAATTTGATGTATGACAACATTTATAAAACAATCAACTAATTTATAAAGAAATTATGATTTTATTCGAAAATAAAAGTTTTCATGTATAGTCATGTAAGTTTGAGATATAGTCATGTAATAAGTTTGAGACCAACTATAGTAAGATACTATGTTGTGTTTTTCATCTTAAAATAAAATTCATGTTTAACATGAATGCATATTATTCTCAAGGTATATTGTGATGACAATTTCTAAAAAAAAAAAATTTAAAAAAAAAAAAAAAAACACTCCCATTGTGCTACCATCTAGCTACTATTATTATAGAACCATTTTATTAAATACTACGTGCAGCTATTGTGCAGACATTATTAGATCAAGATCCAGATTTATGCAACACTATGGGTCAATCCAATGTAACTCCTCTTATATCTGCAGCCATTAGAGGTCATCTAGGAGTTGTCAAAGTGTTGTTGTCACAAAAGTCTAACTTACTAGAGATGCCTAAATCAAATGGGAAGAATGCACTACATTTATCAGCTCGACAAGGGCATGTAGACATTGTGAGAGCATTGTTGAAAGGTAATCCACAACTAGCCAGAAGAACAGACAAGAAAGGTCAAACTGCACTTCATATGGCTGTGAAAGGTCATAGTGCTCAAGTGGTTAGATTGCTACTTCGAGCAGATCCCTCCATAATCATGCTTTTGGACAAATTTGGAAATGCTGCATTACATGTAGCAACTAGGAAAAAACGAGTAGAGGTAATAAGCTCTTAACTCATCTGCTTTAACCTTTTATTATCATTATAATTAAACACAACCATTTTGTGGAATTAAAGTTTTTTCTACCAAAAGTAGCTAAGGAATTATATTAGTTTGTTATTAGGAAGGAATGACTAGATGTATTGTGATGTGGATCAAGAGGGAAATTCTTTTGAAGAGCCAATCATATTGGTTTTAAGGCCAATAGGGTTTGAGCTTGGAGTAAAGAATCAAGAATGGTTAACATGCGCAGCCATTGAAGAAGAAGTCAAGGACCAGTTGGGTTCCGACGACGGCAGCGGCGGCGACGCGCCGATCTGGGTGCCACGCGCCGGCTCCCTAGCTCCGGCCTGAGTCCAGCTACACGGCGGTGGGGCGCGTGTCGATGATGGCGGCGCGTGAGGTGGTGGTTCGGCGGCAGTACGAAAAGAAAGATTTTCCTAACTTAGTTTTTTCTAGAGTTTTGCTTGCAAGTTTTTACCTTTCACTTGAAAGGGTTTTTCTTGGTTTAAGCAATTAGGATAAGTTTATTTTTCTGTCATTTAGTTGCTATAAACTTCATAAGGTGATTAGGAAAGTTTTTAGTTAGTTAGAGTTTGATTAGGAATAAACTACCTAGCAATCTTATCTTTGATAGGATTGAAATTCTATCTTATGTAGGATTATTAGAATCCTATCTAGGTTAGATCTTCTACTTCTAGGAGGACTAGGAGACCTCTTTTGAGGCTTTTAAAAGCTTATTTTCGTGGCTTTGAAGAACAAATCAAAAACCAGAAAATTTAATACAAGTTTATTGTTTGTTTTGCTTAATTGCTTACAAATTCTTTTGCTAGTTTTCAATTCAAGGAGTTGGTTGAAGATTAGAACATTAAACACTTAGTGTCTAGGAGTAGGCTAAGAGTTTAATCTCAAAATAATTAGCGTCCAGGAGTGGGTTAATTAATTTGGGGATTCGAATCATAAGTTTCAGGAGTGATCTTGTGAGGAGAAATATCGGTTCGTTTTTATTCAATCTTAAAGAAATCCTTCAAGATTGGATCGTTACTTCAAGATTGTGGATTTTCTAAAATCTTGACTAAACAAGGGGTTAGAATCCACATCAAATTGGTATCAGAGCTTGTGTGATACCACATCAAATTGGTATCAGATTTCAGGGGTTTTTGATCGTTCAACAATTCGTTCATCAAATCGCACTTGTTCTCGGATAACCAGTTTTTCTGTCAACTTCAGAAGGCTCGTTCTCCTTCGTTACAAGGTCTTTTCAGGTGATTCTTTTTTTGATTTTGGGTGAAATTTTGTCTACTTTCTGCCTGTGAAATTTCAGAATTTTTCGAGTTCGTGTGCTATTAAACTGGACTGTTTTCCGCAACTGTGTCAGTTTTGGTCCGATTTAATACTTACTGCTCTTTGTGTGCGATTTTCTTCCAAGTTGTGTTGCGATTTTTGAGGGTTATTCCTGTGTGTTTTGGGGTCTTTTAAGTCTGTTTTTGTCTTATAATTATGGAGGAAGCTTTGAGCAAATCTATGGATGAATTTGCAAAGTTACTTCAAGGTCATAAAAAGAAGAAAAAACATGAAGATGATAACGTAGATTTTGGCTTTGGTAACAAACATATGCTTATGGAGCGACTGAATTTACATGAAGAAATTATTTTTCAAGGTCAACAAGATAGTTTGTTTCATACTCGATGCAAAGTTGTTGATAGAACTTGTAGGGTGATCATTGATAGTGGTTCGTGTACCAATGTAGCGTCTACAGAGATGGTTACTAAACTCCAACTTCCTACAAGAGATCATGAAAAACCATATAAGTTGGGTTGGCTAGATAATTCTATGGGTTTTCATGTAGAACAACAAGCTTTGGTGAATTTCTCCATTGGCAATTACAAGGAAGAATTATGGTGCGATGTGATTCCTATGAGTGCTTGTCACGTTCTTTTAGGAAGACCATGGCAATTTGATCGACATGTTAAACATGATGGTGTGGCCAACACATATTCGGTCAAGGTGGGAAACAAGAGGTTCAAACTTATGCCTTTAACTATTATTCCATGCCGCGTTAAAGTTAAAGAGATGGAGGAAGATTGTCAAAAGGATAAGGAAGAGGAACATGTAGGTGCTAAAGAGCTCGAAGAAAAGGTGAGTGAAACAATTGATGTTCCAATTGTGTGTGACGTTGTTCAAGATCAGATTATTCATAATGATCTACCAATGGTGGTGTCGGAAAAGGTTTTTGATACTATTGAGGAGCCATTCGTGAATCAAGATAATAATTTAATGGTTTCTTTAGAAGTGGTGGATTCATTAGGCATGCATAAAGAGAAGAAATTGTTAGTCATACATGAGAAAAATATCATGAAGCCTAAAGTGTTCTTATGGTCAACTTCGAAGACCAAGGACCAAATTGAGAATTGGTTGTTTCTAAAATATTGCCTTGCTCGTGGTGATGTTGTTACATTGCTTAAAATTGCTAGCGTTGAGGTAATAGTTCTTTTGGCTTGTATTCGTCGAATTTGGATGGTTTCATGGAATTGTTCTCCTTACATGGATGATGCGAATTTGAGGACAAATTCTTTTGAAGAGGGGGAGAATGATGTGGATCAAGAGGGAAATTCTTTTGAAGAGCCAATCATATTGGTTTTAAGGCCAATAGGGTTTGAGCTTGGAGTAAAGAATCAAGAATGGTTAACATGCGCAGCCATTGAAGAAGAAGTCAAGGACCAGTTGGGTTCCGACGACGGCAGCGGCGGCGACGCGCCGATCTGGGTGCCACGCGCCGGCTCCCTAGCTCCGGCCTGAGTCCAGCTACACGGCGGTGGGGCGCGTGTCGATGATGGCGGCGCGTGAGGTGGTGGTTCGGCGGCAGTACGAAAAGAAAGATTTTCCTAACTTAGTTTTTTTCTAGAGTTTTGCTTGCAAGTTTTTACCTTTCACTTGAAAGGGTTTTTCTTGGTTTAAGCAATTAGGATAAGTTTATTTTTCTGTCATTTAGTTGCTATAAACTTCATAAGGTGATTAGGAAAGTTTTTAGTTAGTTAGAGTTTGATTAGGAATAAACTACCTAGCAATCTTATCTTTGATAGGATTGAAATTCTATCTTATGTAGGATTATTAGAATCCTATCTAGGTTAGATCTTCTACTTCTAGGAGGACTAGGAGACCTCTTTTGAGGCTTTTAAAAGCTTATTTTCGTGGCTTTGAAGAACAAATCAAAAACCAGAAAATTTAATACAAGTTTATTGTTTGTTTTGCTTAATTGCTTACAAATTCTTTTGCTAGTTTTCAATTCAAGGAGTTGGTTGAAGATTAGAACATTAAACACTTAGTGTCTAGGAGTAGGCTAAGAGTTTAATCTCAAAATAATTAGCGTCCAGGAGTGGGTTAATTAATTTGGGGATTCGAATCATAAGTTTCAGGAGTGATCTTGTGAGGAGAAATATCGGTTCGTTTTTATTCAATCTTAAAGAAATCCTTCAAGATTGGATCGTTACTTCAAGATTGTGGATTTTCTAAAATCTTGACTAAACAAGGGGTTAGAATCCACATCATATTGTGAAATATATTATTTAGTGGTGTTATAATACCAACTTGCCAAAACAATGCACTAGGCTTTTATAAAACCTTGGTTGATCAATTCTGGATATCCATGAATTCTAGTCTTTATGTTTTTTATTTAAAAAAAAGAGAGTAATAAGTGGAAGTGCATTCAATTTATTCTTAATGTTTCTTGACTACTAAACTACTATGTAAATTATTAATTTAAGTTCTTAAAAAGATTGTCATTCATTATTTAATAACAATTTTGAGGCTATAAGAAAATTATTGAACCATTTGTGATGTGCAGATAGTGAATGAACTGCTCCTCCTCTCAGAAACTGATGTGAATGCATTAACAAGAGATCGCAAAACTGCGATGGATATTGTAGAAGGGCTACCTCTCTCTATAGAAAGTTCAGAGATAAAGGGTTGTCTAATGCGATATGGTGGGGTTAAAGCTGATGACTTAAATCAATCACGAGATGAGCTTCGAAAAACAGTGACTGAAATCCAAAAGGATGTTCACACTCAACTCGAACAAACTCGAAGGACAAATCAAAATGTAAATGGGATTGCAAAAGAATTAAAAAAGTTACATAGAGAAGGAATTAACAATGCTACAAATTCAGTAACTGTGGTGGCTGTGTTGTTTGCAACTGTGGCCTTTGCTGCCATTTTCACCGTTCCGGGTGGTGACTATGATTCTGGAGTAGCTGTGGTGGCTAGCAATATTTCATTTAAAATATTCTTCATCTTTAATGCAATCGCGCTCTTCACATCCTTATCTGTTGTGGTGGTTCAAATAACAGTAGTCAGGGGCGAAACCAAATCCGAAAGGAAAGTTATTGAGGTAATCAATAAGTTAATGTGGTTGGCTTCAGTCTGTACTAGTGTTTCATTTATCTCGTCATCATACATTGTTGTAGGCCGACATCACTCGTGGGCTGCCATTTTTGTTACTGTATTAGGAGCAGGTGTTATGGCAGGAGTTCTTGGCACCATGACATATTATGTTGTAAAGTACAAAAAAATTAGAAAAGTTAGAAAGAAAGAAAAATCATCTACAAAAAAAAGTCATGCCCTTCATGATATTGATGTATTCTCTGAAGATTCAGCCGTCAATGCAATCTATGCAATTTGATGTGTAACCAACTAACCTGTGCTCATTCTGTCTTGTGCCTAGTGGTTGAATATCCAAAGAAATATGACTGAATAGGTTATATATATATATATATATATATATATATATATATATATATATATATATATATATATATATATATATATGATCAAAGAGAGTGTAATGTTACTCAGGGGATTAACAACTTAGCGTTACCGTATAAGATATGCAAAGCAGGTAAAAAATTTAATAAATTTACTAATGGTTTGTAGTTATGCATCTATAATTTAATTATTTTCTTAATTGTTAACTTTTCTAAATACTTTCTATGAAGATAAGGAAGTTAGTTTATAATTTCCATAAACGAGAAGGTTTACTAGATGATCATCTTATGTAATACGGAGTGTATCGCCTTTTTATTCAGAAGATAAATCAAAAAATATACAAGTTAAACTATTGCCTTCATTCATAGCAGTAAGAAAGTGGTAACCTTTTCCTTGGCTTTATAAATCTTCTAATCCATGTAAGTTCTTTCAATACTAACATTAGAAAAAACAAAAAAAATAAAAAAAAAGGGGGAAATTCTATGTTATAACCTTGAAGACCTTGAAATTCTACACTATGTCCAAGGCTTTTGAAAATTCTACATTATGTCCAGTTATTAACTCATTTGTACCCCTTAACACTAAGTTTCCGTTAATGGTTCCATTATCTTAAACAAAGCATCGTATGATTGGCTTACAAAATTAAATAAAACAAAAACAAAAACACCAAAACCACCCCCATGGTCAGCTTGCTGCCATCGCCAGCCCAGCCCCCTTCCCTTGGAGCCCCGGCCGCCGCCCGAACTACTTCTCCTCTCCCAATGTCGACGCTGCCTCGACCAGCTCCCCTTTCCCTTTCAAACACCACGCGAAATCCAGCAAAATCTCCCAAATCCTAACCCCCAAATCCAAACCCTAACTCTAACCTTTGAATTCCAGTACTGGAAGGCTAGGGCGAAGAGAGAGAGAGAGAGAAGTAATAAGAGCAGAAGGCGACGGCCGACGGCGACAGTTAGGGGATCGAAGGTGCGGCTCAATGTTTTTCCGACGGTATAGGAGGTTATTTAAGGTTTTTTCAGGGGAGGGGGAAGAATTAAGAGAGGTTTTAAACGGAAAGGCGAGGGTGGTCGGGGCAGCGCCGACATCGAAGGAGGGGAAGAGGGTCTAGACGGCACTTAAGCCTCTTTCTTGGGCCTTTACAGAGCGTGACTCTTGCGACACTCGAGGGGACAGGGTAGGCTGACCGTGGGTTACAGCAAGCGGTTGGCCATGGGTGGCTGGGTTGGTGGTTTTGGCTTTTTTTTCCTTAAGATAACGGAACTTTATTAATGGAAACTTAATGGCTAGAGTATAACAGAGTTACTGACTAGACCTTGGGGTTACAGTGTCAAGAACCATGGATACAACATAGAATTTCAAAGTTTTAAGGATTATAATGTAGAATATTCCAAAAAAATATTATATTTTACCACCCCACAAAACACCCTGACCTATATTTATTTGGCCACTCATTTTTTTTTTCCTTTTATTTTATTTAACCACTCACAAAACGAAAATGTTTGATTTCACTAGCTCTTGAAAGCAAATTCCATTTTTTAAAATATGAACATCGATTTTCGTGCCTAAACTTGCTCTATCAGGGTTGTGGGGGGTCATTTTTATCATTTTGAATTGATTTAAGGTAAGAATTGAATTATTATTTTTTTTGTGAAAATGTCTCATTTTGCATGCTAAGAATTACCTCAATTTACGTGACACACATAAATGGAGCATTTTCGATACTTTTTTGGGTGTTTTGATCTACTCCGTATAATTATGTCCAAAGAGTCAACATGACTCCCAAAACCTAAATAGAGTAAGTTTTGGTACGAGAATAATTTGTAGTTAAGAGGTAGTGAAACATAAATTTTTGCTCTTTTGCAGGTAGTTAATAAAATAACGAAAAAACAGGCAACAAATCAAAATAGTGTTTTTTGAAGGGTAGTATACGTTTTAACCTTAACATTATGATTTGGATGAAATTTCAAGGGTAGGAAAGCAATATAATACATGTCAAGTATACAAATGAATCGATTGTACAAAGATTGTAACCTGATTGCTTGGTGTCATTAAATTCTTAAGATAAATGGTTTTCACAAATCTTTATCAAACTAATCTAGGTTGATCGATATCAAGTATCTCTCTAACTCTTATAGCATGTTAGCTTCTCACTTTAATTTAAATCTTATTATAGGGATGGATATCAAAATTTTAGGTGAACTAAAGAATTAAAAAAATATATATATTATTCTTCAATATTTTTATTTGAACAAATTAAATATCTAAGATCTAACAAGAAATAAGGTGCAAGCATTACAACTCTCAAAGTAAATTCATTGAACTAATTCATTTATTTGGAAGGGGATTGAAAAGTGGAAAGGAAATATAACACTCCCTTTAACCCTCAATATACAAAGTTCATTTATCAGTTCACACGAATTTATAAATGTAAATGAAATCATATAACTAATATATAAAGCTAAATTTTTAGCCAAGTCATGAGACAGCAAAACTTGGGGTTCCAGCTTTTCGCCAAGTGTTGTGCCACGTAGGCGACAATTAATAATTAAATATGACAATTTGGGTTTTTTTTTTTGAAACAAACAATTAGGATATATTTGAAATATTTTTTATAGACTAAGATAAATAAAAAAAATAAAATATAAATATAATAAAAGTTAATATTAAGAAAAAAGTAGGATAAAAAATTATTTTAGACTTTATTTTCATTAAAATTTGGATGGATTTAGTAAGATTAAAAAAGTTATTTTTGAGTTTTATTTTCAATATAAATTTTGGTTCAGAATTTTATTTTAAATAAAATACCGATATTTCTATACAAATGACAGATCCAAGACGTACAAAAGGAAAATAATAATTAAAAAAAAATCAAAGAGACCTGTGAGTATATATAACCGTTCTCTTAAATCTTAACATGCATGCAACTGATCTTTCCTTAGACATTCAGAGAAAATGAAAAGAGATTATAGCTTTAGACGACGATTCTGATTGTACGTTATTAGTACCCATAAACGAACAAGTATGATGTTATAAGTGATTATTAATCCATGAGTAGAAAAATTCAAATAATATATATATTTTAGATAAAAAAAAAATTAAATTCAATAAACAACTCGGGAATTGCACGGTACACAAAACTACCATAACCTAATCTATAGAGCAACACCAACGGCATGTGAAGTGTATATTAAATTTATTTAAACTTAGCTCTTATCTATTTTAGATCGTGTTTGATATCATGCAAAATATCAATAATATTACCATTGTTAAGTTGGTTTTTATATATATCTTAAATTGCTAAAATATATTGAATAATATTCACTGTAATTCTCATTCACCATAAACGGCCACATACAATTATATATAAGCTAGGAAACTTGGAGGGCAAGACTAAATAACCTAAAGATATTCACAAAATATTCCCACAAAATATTCTAAGATATTCACAATATTTATCTTTCCTAATACCCCCAAGTTGGAGAGTACGGATCACGGACACCCAACTTGCGAAGTAGAAACTCGAATTTAGTTTTTCCCAAAGCCTTTGTAAAAATGTCATCCAACTGAACCGTCGTAGGAACATACGAGGGTATAATCGTTCCATCTGTAATCGCATCCCGAACAAAATGACAATCTGACTCAATATGTTTTGTTCGTTTATGAAACACTGGATTCTGCGCAATGTATAACGCAGACTGACTATCACAATAGAGGTGCATCCCATTCTCATGTCTTACACCTAAGTCACCAAGTAGTCGCTTCAACCACTTCAATTCACAAGTCGTTGCATTCATACAACGATAATCAACTTCCGATGAAGAAAAGGCAACAGTGGGTTGCTTCTTAGTTTTCCATGACCCGGAGACAAACCAAGAAGCACAAACCACCCACTCAAGGATCGTTTGGAGAGAGGAAGACCTGCCCAATCAGAGTCACACCAACCTTCCAACTGTAAAGCACTATCAGATCTCAATAAAATTCCGTATCCTGGACTCTTCTTCAAATATCTAACAACTCGCAGAGCTGCTTCCCAATGATCAATTCTGGGATTTTGCATAAATTGGGATAAAATGTGCATAGAGTACGCTAAATCAGGTCTCGTAACAGACAAATAAATCAGGCGACCTATGAGGCGACGATATTTCTCAATATCATGAAAATACTCTCCCTGAGATAGAGCTAATTTGTGATTTTGTTCCATAGGGAACTCTGCAGGTTTAGCGTCAAGTAAACCGGCCTCTGTAATAATATCCAACGCATAATTCCTCTGGAAAATAAAAATTCCCTGTTTATTCCGGGGCTACCTCTAGCCCCAAAAAATATTTCAACGATCCAAGATCTTTCATCTTGAAACAATTTCCCATATATGATTTAAAACTAAGCATATCATTTTTATCATTGCCTGCAACAATTAAATCATCGACATATACTAACACATTGAGCTGCATTTTACCCTTTGTCAGAGTAAATAAAGAATAATCGTAATATGACTGCTTAAAGCCATACTTTTTCAAAGCTGTAGCAAGCTTTGCAAACCAACATCTTGGAGCTTGTTTAATCCTGTACAACGATTTCTGCATCCTGCAAACTTTGTCAGAATTATCTTTCTCAAAACCAGGGGAATTTTCATATATACCTCTTCTTCCAAATCACCATGGAGAAACGCATTATGAACGTCCATTTGATGGACTTCCCAATTTTTCACTACCGTTACTGCAAGAAAGGTTCGAACTGTCACCATTTTTGCTACCGGAGCAAAAAACTCATTGTAGTCTATTCCTTCAACCTGATGATTGCCAAAGATGACTAATCTTGCCTTCAATCTCTGCAAATTCTCATGTTCATCATACTTCTCTTTGTACACCCACTTGCTCCCGAGTGCCTTTTTACCCGGTGGTAATTTCTCAAAGGCCTAAGTACCCTATTCTTCAAG